ACAGCAGGAACCGATGGTCAGGCATGAAGCAGGTAAACATGCACGCAAGCATACACTAGGTTTGGTGAAGAGTCAACTCACTAAAAACACATCTACTTTTATACATGTACTAAAAGTACACATGCATGTGTGTGCTCATGCTTTGTGCAGTTTCCTTACCACACCACACATGTGCTTTCATCTGCTCTTTGTCTTTGTACATTAACACATATGTGTGGGAATGCTTGTGATTCTTTGAACATGAAGGCCTAGACACACCAAACTGACATCAAGAAACTAGTGGCGATGAAGGCCGACTGATGCATCATATCACGTCACTCATGAACACACCATTAAGATTACAGCCAACAGCCAACTAGCATGAACGTTCTGCTCCTGTGTTAGAGGAGATAACTCTTCATACCATCAAGTAGTGCTAGTTTGGAAATCGGAAGTCTGACAGGATGGATTCAAGTCATTAGTCAGACAGTTAGCACATTAACAGCATACCCTGGTGGTAAAAGAACAAAGGATATTTGCTGTGTGCCAGTGAACAGTAACAGAAACGATTGAAAAACGTTTCTGCTAAAGAGCTCAGTGCCTTAAAAAAAAAGTTCTTACCTAATGTAATGAGTTTGTTTAAGTGCCTTCACTTTAGACGTTTGTGTGCTTTGCTCACGTCCGTTTCTCTTCCTGTGCACTGAGCTGAACTACCAGTAAGTGATTTCACTCACAGACGGGCTCTGCCGTCTCTGCCAATGGTTCAGCATGCTGAATCGGCTGGCAGAAAGCTGACAAGGGCTGACTAGTGTCAACAGTGCTGGACACACCGCAAAAACTAGGGCGACAGACCATCAGCTTGGTGTGTGAATAGAGAAAGACATAAGGCAGACATACTCTGTGAGTTTGGCTTTTGTTTGGCATTTCCAATTATGCATTTTATTTAATCTGTATAAGGCAGTAGTCATTTGTATTGTGTGTGTATATAAAAATCATAAAGGTTAAAGTTTTAAATGTATGTTTTAAAGTTAATGCCAGTTATCTTCACTGTATACTGGTGCTGGTAGAGACTGTAGGTATATGTGCCAGATGGGAAAGCAGTGTCGAGAGTCAAAGAGAAGGCACAGGTTGGGTGTCACCTCTGCTGCTGAAATCTGCTACGCCTGAGACTCCTTTTATTGTCCATTAGCCTGATACACATTAGGCGAGAGTTGTGGAACTTGTTTGGTCGCTACCAAATATCAGATCTCTAAAAAAATTTCCTGCTTGACTGATGTGGCTCATTTATTCATCACACTTTACATTTGCTGGCTTTCATCCTATGATTCACCGCCATCAAAATTTTAACAGCCTGTAATGTTTTTTAAGTAAATACATGTATTGAAACGCACATGCTAAAAGTGCACGTGTTAGCACATTTGTTTGGTAGTGAACTGACTCTTCACCCCTCCATATGCACCCTCAAATTACTCTCCTGACACAAGCTACACAGCCTGTCAGCAGCAGAAAAGTTTCGGATGATAACGATATTTAGAAAATGTGTGCTGGTATAACAGCGTCTCATTACATAACATGTATTGCCTCCTCAGTTACACAGGATACAAATACTTGAGCTGCATGAGAGCTAGAGGCAACAGTGTTGTATCTGTGTCTACATGTCTGTCACTCTGACTGTGTGTCTGTCTATAGGGGAGGCTCTGGGAGCAATTGGTGATCCTGTGGTTCTGGACCTGCTGAAGGAGTACAGTCAGGATCCTGTCATAGAGGTAGGAACATGACACTTAGTCTGTAACTAAAAAGGCAGTGGTATCAGGCCAATAAACACACAGAACACTGGATCAGATTCTTATTTCACAGCATAAAATAAATATGAAAAAGATGACAAAAATCCAGGTTGATATTTAATATTTAATTTCAAGTAATCTAAACTTATGTTACTTTGTTGATTAACCATAAGCAAATGAAAACACAATTGAGTTCCCTGAAACAGTTTGAGGCACATTTATATAACCAGTCAGAGAGTTTGTTAGTGCTGAATGCTGATAGAGAGTGATGTTCCCTCACTAAAGAAACAGTCTTTGACAAAAGAGTCCAAATATCTCAGACACCAGTTGCCTCCCATTTGGGGACGACTTCTTAGAATCTGTGTTACACCTAATGAGTGAAATTGTCATTTTCACACCCCATCAAAGTTAATCAACCATTACCTCATTAAAGACTCAATACCTCATCAAATAAAGGAATCGAGAGAAAATAGGGAGGGAGTTGGAGAGAGGGGCGAACCTAAAACCAAAACAACTTAATGCAATCTATATTTTATATTTTGGCCATCTTACAGGTGTTGGAGTCTAAATGGAGGTCCATTAGAGTAATAGTAGTGGAAAGTTTGAATATTTACCAAAATTTCAAATTTGTAAATAAATACACATTGTTTCACTGAACACAGAGATGTTGTCTGATATTCTCATAAAGTTTGAGCACTCATTTGTCAAGGTAGTACAAGTTTGTACAGTGCATGTTACACTAAGACATTTATTGTCACTGCGTCCTCAGTTTATTTCATGTAAAATATTTCAAAAAGTTTTTTTACACTATTTCATCTTCAGAATGTAAACACAAACTGAATTAGTTTTGGTAGCCTTTGGACCTGTCCTTAAGGGGTTAAGTACATGGACTCCTAATGAAAATCACAGCTTGCGGTGTGATTTATTTTTGCCCCCAAATCACAATTCATTGTATTGTCAGTGAAATAGCCAAATGGATGTCATTACATGTGTTTCTACCATGCCTCAACAAACACAACTTGTGTTTCATCCTCCTTGGGGTTGTGTTGTGACTTTCCTACGGTCTTGGGTCCATATCAACAAAGACCCATGTCTGAAACGTGGAAACAAACTTGTGCATGAGGCATACAACCTGTTGTAAATGTCATGTCCGCTGCCTTCAGGTTGCAGAGACGTGTCAGCTGGCTGTTCGTCGGCTGGAGTGGCTGCAGAGTGGAGGCGAGAAGCAGCTGAATGATGGAAACACAGATAAGAACCCCTACTGCTCAGTAGACCCAGCTCCTCCAGCAGTGAGGAAGAGTGTGTCAGAGCTGCGGTCTATCCTGTTGGATGAAAGTCTGCCTCTCTTTGAACGCTACCGCGCCATGTTTGCCCTGCGGAACCTGGGCAATGAGGAGGCTGTGCTGGCACTGGGAGAAGGTAGGATACCACACTATAATTTAATGTTTTATCTATGCATCACTGTGTATGACCACACTACTGCAGCTCTACATCTGATAATGTTTGGTCTTTCCATGTTGACCTCAATTTAAAGCTTGGATCTCTCTGTGAATTGAAACATTTGTGCAGTCATCAGTCTTTGGAACTGTTTCAATGCAAATTTGGAAAAAAACAATTCTACATCATGTCATACATGCAGCCTGCCTCTCAGTGAAGCAGCCATGTGATGATAAGAGCAGCGTTTGGCGTGCTTGACAAACATCCTCTCTTCCACTGTCTTTGTCTCCAGGCCTGCAGTGCTCTAGTGCTCTGTTCCGTCACGAGATCGGCTATGTCCTGGGTCAGATGCAGCACCCGGCCGCAGTCCCAGCCCTGCGCGCAGCTCTGGAGCGTTCCGGTGAGAACCCCATGGTCCGACACGAGGCGGCAGAGGCTCTTGGGTCCATCGGGAAAGAGGAGTGTCTGACTGTGCTGCAGCAATACCGTGGAGATGGAGAACGTGTCGTCAAGGAGAGCTGTGAGGTCGCTCTGGATATGCTGGAGTATGAAAACAGTGATCAGTTCCAGTATGCAGATGGACTTGTCAGGTTACAGGGTTAAAGGTCTATGTTCCCATTTCACTGAAATCGCTTTTTTAACGCATTTACTCCTCTCTGTACTATATAATATCTCATACAGCAGAGGTGCCAGGACAACTCAGTGCATCAGTAAAACTATTGGGTCCTCCAGGATCAAGCTCCACAGTAAGAAAGATACTTGGCGCTTAAAACCAAAAAATGAAACTGTAAAGCATGGTGTGGGTGTTGCTGTGTGGGGGGGACAGAAAGGAAAAGTGTCCCCTGTGTTGTTTCCCCCTTCAAGATGCAACTGCACACGTCTTCACTGCTGTCATTTGGAGTTTTGTGGAAACTACAGCACCTCCACTATACTCACACTCCCTGGTCAGCTTTGGGCTGAAGGTTGAAAGCCTGTGGGATTGATGTGATGATTTTAAGGGCTTTTCAATTGAAGGCATGTTACTTTGGTCTTTCTTAATCATTTTTTCCTGGGAACTGTATGTGATCATACAGTCTGACAGAATGGAAATGAGACAGGGCTATAGGACTTGTTTTGAGTTTATGGCATTGGTTCTGATCCAGGCTGCACTACGTGGTGTTAGGTCATTTTGCTATAGCCTCATATAGCCAGACCTACCGCCACACTCTGTGTTAGCGCCATGCCATCACTGGATATGTCTGGCTGAATCCCATCATAATTCTACAATAAGGAAAAAAACACAGAGTTGTTTGTGTTTTTTTTTAAAACCAATCACAATCACCCGGGGCGGCGCTAAGCACAGGATGCAACAATGGTGCCTTTGCAACATAGGGAGCTTCCGTCTGAAATAGGCAGCCAGTGGCAGACTTGTACACACAGGCTACATCCTGTGAGCCAGACTAATTTTGCTATAAGAAATTATATAAGATCTATCAGTCTCTCTGTTGTAGAGTTACAGCATGGTGGGGAATACACATCCTTCATTGAAGGGATAAAAGAAATTGTGAAATAAAACCTCATTCTCTCATGCTGCTCTGGTTGCTTTGGAACACAGGTTTCGGTTTGTGTCTCGTATCCACATGTGTACTGTGTGTAAAATTAAAATAATGCTGTACACATTTATTTTATTGTCGAGCCTTTTTATCTGTTCAGTCCTACAGCACAAGTTTGTGTTTAATTCCATTCAGCTGATGTTTTTTTCTACCTGTTGTTTCCACTATTATTGTTTTTGTGTATACTTAGAGACAAGAGACACATTAAAGTGAATCCCTGAATTAATGAGTGAAGAAACATTACAGCATTTTACTGTTGTTAATCAAAGTGTGACTGGAACTAGCAAAACAGTAGCTTAGGTGGACAGCTGAGGGGTGCACAGTGATGCCATGAGTGTTGTGATTTTTTTTTTTCTCCAGTTCATGTGCAATCTGTGGTAGCTGTCTAAACCAAAGCCCACCACTGCTGCTGCTGGTCTCAGTCCATAAGAGAAGTGAAACATTTTGAACCACAGCTTGAGAGGCATGATCAATCTTCTTGTCATGTTTTATTTACATGAGACTAGTGGATATAAAAAGGTGATGAGGTCAAAGGAGACACCTGATTTATCTCAGTGGGCCCGCGGTGCTCTCGCGAGCCTAGGAACCCCTCTGTTACAGTAACCATAGCAACCGGTGAAGTTTGGCTCTACGGGCACTCTTAATACACTGAATACAAGCTAACTAGAAGTTATAAACGTTTTTCTCCAGTCCTGTAGCTACCGTTATTCTATCTTTATCTAAAACTGACAGTCGGTGTGTTGTAAGGTACTAGTTCAGAGACACATGACTGAAACTGAGGTGAAGAACGATGGAAACAGCGGATGAAAACCGAGACAAAACTCAGCAGACGCTGCAGTCAGCTGCCTCGCTCAAAGCTTTCATGATGAAAAACAGCACGGAAAGCAACCTGAACCTGTAAGTAACGTTTTCATGTTTGAATTATAGTTTTATGTCGTTATCTCATGACTGCATAGTCAAGTTTGCGGTCGAGTGAGCCGGCAAAACACGGACACGGTAGCAACCGCCGTTGACTTTTTTCGCGTCTGCTCATGACATTACGGTACCGGTGCTTGAACCAGTTAAAACAGACTTCCAAATAATCTCAATAAATTCATAGGCTACATTTAACATAAGCCCACCTAGTAAATTAAACTACGTGTTACACATCAAGTATGAAATGTTTCTTGTTTCAAGTCATAGGTCACTCAAAACATCCTATGTTATCTATATGTATCCACTTTTAACTGTGGGAGTGACTTTCCCTTTATTTTTTTCTCAAAAACTGCACAGTAAAATAACATCACTTTTACATTGTGATAGGGTCATCCTGAACAGGACTTATAATGTCCATGAAAGTGACTTTTCCAGTGCAGTAATGTAAAAATTCAAATTGTATATGGTTATGTTATATATGATTGTCATATTATATACAATGTAACATTGATTAGCAGGTGCAGTCTGCATTTTTCCACCATTTTAGTTCATTTTTAGTAACTCATGATGTCCTTATCTAACTTCTGTGTTACTCTATGGGGCACTAGTTTTTGCCTTTGCTCCTTCAACACTTTATATCTGGTATATTTTGAATATTTTTGACTGATATTTAATACTCTACTGTTTTAAAAACTGGGCTCAATGTGTAACCCTGGCCTGGGAAAACCACTGGTTGTTCTGGTTGTTACTGGTTTGTGACCATTAATTATTGTTGCTGTATTTTGTGTTACTGTAATTGAGGCAGTCTCTGGCACAAAAATTTTCCTGCACGATAAACAACGTTCTATTGAATTAAATTTAATTAAGTTGTCATAGTCGAGAAAATTTTTAGCAGAAATCCATTGCTATTAAGGAAATAGCTCTATCATATTTCTTGGTGATGTCACATATTCAACAAAACCTATTTAAATTATGTGATGTGTAATATGATGCTGCTTTTATTTGTTAATATATATAACATGAGAAATGCTAAATACTGGAATATAAGTAATTCTTTGTCCTTTTGTGCCACTCCAAGCACTGATACTATAACAGCACTAGTAGACACTTGACTGGGTTTTCGCAAACAGTGGCTCACTTGACTGCAGTACACAAAGGAGTAGTCCATAAGCAAATAAATCAGGAAACTTGCTGCTGAGATATACACAAAATGATGACTGACATCAGTAAGGGAGTAGTGCAGGGAAACATTTTCAATTACATGTGCAATGTATGTGTAAGTGTATTTTTAAAACAGAGAAAGAGTGGCTGTCACTATCAGTTTGTGGTCATAATACAAAAGAACAAACACATGTTCTCCAAGGTAAATGTCTGTGTTTTGCACAAAGGTAAATTTGTAATGTAGGTGCTTACATTTGTGAATTGTATTTCTGGGTAGATGTCTAAAATGACCAACAGATGGTCAAACACATTAAAGAAGCCTTCATTGATTTTATTCTTTATGTTCCAGCTATGACCACCTCACTTTGTTGCTGATGAAGGTGATGGATGAGCAACCACAAAATGCGGTTGATGTGATTGAGGATATGAGTCGGGATGTGAAGCGGGGTTTATTTAAAGACAAGCAAAGCACCTTGCGAGACCTTCCGCAGACTACAGCTGCTGAGCTGCTGGCTGAGCAGCAGCGCGTGTTGTTTTCACGACCAGAAGAGGCTGACCAGGAGGAGGAACTGGTATTGGCAACTTAAACCTACACTGTACATTAGTCTTGGTGATTTGAAGAGGAAAGGGCATATAAAGGACAACTTGGTTTACCTGTGTAACATTAATATAGTGTGCTGAATCATTATTTATTGAGTGTCACTCATTATATGAAGCTGAATTTATGTCATTTAATACTGTCCATTGGTCTTCATCAGATTGAAACACCTCTTCCTAATGTGAGTGAGATTGGCTTCTACTTGGAGCAGGCTGGAGTGGGTCTGGGCAGAGAGGAGATGCAGAGGATCTTCCTTGCACTCAAGCAGCTTGTTGAGACGCAGGCGCTGCTACGCTGCCGACTGTGGGGCAAGATTTTGGGAACTGAGGGCAGCTATATCATTGCTGAAGTTGAGTACAGAGAGGGGGAGGAAGGGGAGGAGGAGGAGAGCACTGAGGAAGAGGAGAGAGAGGCAGAGACTGAAGAGAATGAGGTGAGGAACGTGAAAGTACTCAATCAATGTACCAGACAATCTTCATTTATTCCCAAACTGTGACAGAGGCCTTTATTTACAGCATCTTCAAAGAGAACCAGGCCTTTTTTTATTACAGTGTTCCTGCTTTAGTAAAAAGCCTTCCTGTTTCTTAATTCCCTTACTTATGGTACTTTGTTTGGAAGGGATATTCCTACAGTGTCCCTTAATCTCAAGGAAAAGAAGTGAAATGAATTGTGCGGCTTTGTTTTCAGATGGATCCACTTCCTCAGTCAACCTATAAACCCCAACCAGCAGTGCCGAAGGAGGCCCTTGGAACGGGTGCTAACAAGTATGTTTATTATGTGTGCAAAGAGCCTGGTCTTCCTTGGGTAAAACTCCCTTCAGTCAGTCCTGCGCAGATCACTGTCGCTCGCCAGATTCGCAAATTCTTCACTGGGAGGCTGGACTCCCCGATTGTCAGCTACCCACCTTTCCCCGGGAATGAAGCCAACTACCTGAGAGCACAGATCGCTCGGATCTCTGCCGGCACACAGGTCAGCCCCCAGGGCTTCTTCCAGACTGGGGAGGAGGAAGGTGATGAGGAAGATGAGTCACCCCGGGACAGCTGCGAAGTGAATCCTGACTTTGAGGGTGTTCCAGTTGCTGAGATGACTGAGTCTTTGTCCGCCTGGGTGCATCATGTGCAGCACATCCTACAGCAGGTACAAGACTGATCGAAACAGGTGCATGGACCATTTTCTCATCTGATTTTAGTTTTAGTGTGTGTGTATTTAATGTGTGACTATGGTCTGCTCTAGGGCCGCTGTACTTGGGTGAAACTGACTGTGAAACCAGAAGACGACTCCAATGAGGAAGGGGAGGCTGAGGAGAAGGAAGAGGAGCCTGATGAGCCTGAGCCAGAAGTTGGACCCCCTCTGCTCACCCCCCTCTCCCAAGATGCAGGTCAGTCTTTGACTTCGGACATTTTGCTGCCAAAACAGGAGGAAAGGTTACCGATGATCTACTTTCCACTGGGGATTGGGTGACTTGTTGCCTTACTGTTATAAAATACTTTCTAAATCCAGTTTCAGGTAGATTTACTCAGTAAAATCTCTCAAACAGTGTCCTCTGACTGTCAAACTGCTGTAATCCACATGAAGGTCAGGACGGGATTAAAATGTTGATAAACTCAACATGATTTCAGAACCGAAAAAACAATCATGCAGTTCACATTCTTTCAGGCTTCATGCAATTAAAGTTGCATGTTTCACCTATCTACATTAAAGGTGTGCCCTGCTGCTGCCTGGCAACCTGTATGATACACTGCAGGCTGCTGCTCACCTACTCTCGTCTCACCATGCAGCCAAATATAAAAGTTGTTAGCTTTGAGTAGTGAAAATGGGTAACAATATGATACAATTAAGATTGAAAGTTTATTGGTATATAATTTTAAAATTAGCTCCCGGTCGACCTCCATGTAGTGTCTGCAGCAAAGGTGCCCTCTTGGATGCCCCTAAGGTAGATAAAACATGATTAAGTGCCTACCAGGGTGGCCTTAAAGTTGAGAAGGAGTGATGCAGTGCCATATAGGCTGCTCTATATGCTAGAAAACCTTCTGCGCACTAGAATGGCATGCACTGTTTCTTTTTTTTTTTGGTTTTGCTTGGTGAACCCATGGGCCTCCTCTTATGAAACCAAACCTATGTCCTTGAAGGCAACTAAATCTTTTTAATATTCATGTCTCTCAGAATTGTTCAACGCTCCTCCCTGGACCTCCAAGGTGTCCTCCACTCTCACTGCTCAGCATGCTGTAGCTGTGCTGCGTTCTAACCTCTGGCCAGGGGCTTATGCATATGCATATGGAAAGTAAGTGGAAAGATAAGGACATTCTGACTTCCTGTGTTTGATTTCTCACCGTATCCTCAAGGCAATGTTGCAATTTACAACCACCATGTACTGTCTCCTACTTCAGGAAGTTTGAGAACATATATTTTGGATGGGGTTTGAAGTATGCAGGGGAAGGGTACAGCCCACCCGTCCCTCCGCTACCACAGAAAGAATATCCCAGCGGACCAGAAATTACAGAAGCCCTGGACCCATCACTGGAGGACGAGCAGATACTGAAAGACGCTTATGAGGAGCAGCAAGATGCCCAGGAAGAGATGGAGGCCTCAGATGAAGAGGATGAGGAAGATGACGATTAAAAAAAAGTTACATATTTTAAATTTCTGTTTTATCTTTGTGCATTTCATTTTTATGTATCGTGTTTTTATGTTTATCTTTAAGAATTTATACACAAGTCAATGGCCAAATAAACCATTTCACTCACCAACATGACATGATGTTGTAAATTCAGGTAGATATAGTTCAGTATCTGAACAGGGCAGTAGTGTAAAGATGAGGCAGTGCAGCAGTGCCAATGTACACACATTTTGTTGAAGGCACCCTGTGGAGATTTTGACCACCAGTAGCAGTATGGAACAATGCTTTACATGTGGGTCCCCCTCTCGTTTGTTCTTGTGCACATGCAGGTGGATGTGCCATAGGTGGATTATGAGACAATGGGCCCCTGGGCACAGATATGCAAAGGGCCCCAGCACCTCTCCTACATGGGAGCAAGACACACAGCCTTTGTGGTGGTTTTGCATCTCTTTGTTGTCGTCATGCATCTTTTTGTGCTTTTGTGCCTCCTTGTGGTTGCTTGGTGTGTCTTTGAGGTTAACTCTGTCTTTTGTAGTCATGTTGTGTCTGAGGTCATTTTCTGTCTCTCTGTGATTGTTTTGTATCTGTTTGTTGTCTTTTGGGTCTCTTTAATGTAATTTTGTGTCTTTTTGGTCCTTTTTTGTTGCTTTGTCATTTTGTTTATCTTTGGGGTTCCTTTGCATCTATGTGTAGTCTGTTCCTTGTCAGTATGTGTTTATTGGAGTGACATTTTGCAAGTGAAGGCTGGGGTTTCCCCTGACACTTTGGGCCCCAGGGCCTGTGCCCGGTAAACCCATTCAGTAAACCACCCATAAGGTGCACATTCACACACACACAGCAATGGTTTCATAATGTTCTACTGATGCATAGTGAGGGGTTCATGTGCCAAGAAATGCAGCAGTGTACCAACATAGGCAAGGGCATCAGTGATGCAGGTTTCAAACCTTGTAGAAAAATATTTCTCTTAAGTCAACACTCCCACCTTTGCCATCAGTGTAATAAGAATATGAAAGAGGGGGACAACAATTTCATGAGGTAGATCCACCAACTGCAGCCCTTGCACAAGATTTGTGTACATGGGCAAGTACCCTGGAACTAAACGCAGCTCACATTAGGCAAGAGGCAGGTTACGCCTTGGAAAGATCACCAGACTTTCACAGCGCTGACACATAGAGACAGACAACCATGATTTTTTAAAGCAAACAATGAACCTGCCTGTCTCATGACTTTGGGAGGAATCCAGAGACCAATAAAAAGCCACATTGACACAAGGAGAACATGCAAACTCCACACAGAGGGGCCCAAACTGGCCAGCAGGTTTGAACCTGAAATCCTCTTGCTGTGAGGTGACAGTGGTACCCACTGCACCACCAGGCTGCCCTGATACTCTTAATGTGTACTATTATTATCATTATTATTAATAATAATAATAGTAATAATATCTCAATTGTAGCCTTTTCTCTCCCAGATACTTTATTAATACAAAACAGGTTTCCATTTCATCCCAGTCAAAGTGTTAAAACATTGGGAGGAATGGAAAGTATAATCAGTCTTTAATAAAGGAAATACAAATAGACAGAACAAGAACAATAAGGGAAAAATGAATTAAATAAAGCACCATAAATAAATTATTACTTTTTTAAGAGGAAAAAAGGGAACAAGTATTTTCAAACATGCATTCAATTGTGTGTATATTCTTTGTGCTTTTTATGAAATTATAGAGGGTTGGTAAAGTATCACATCATAATAAAGTTAATCTTTAGTGATTAGTGGGCATTCGCTTTAACAGAGAGCATAAAATGTTGTTTATGTTGGAAATGACAAAATTGGACCAGAATCTGATGATGAAGTTACAGCTGAAAAGCGTTTTCAACAAAGAGTTAACTGGAACATCAGAAAAGCGTGACCATAGACTGTATCAAGAGTATTAACCCTCTTAATAGCAATCATTAACCTACAGTCTAAAAGAAAGACAGCTTATGTCTTTTCAAATAATAAAAAAATAACATCCCTGTTCTGTAAGTTAATCATATATTTAACATCAATCCAGAAGAATTCAACGTAAATGCATTCATAATATGAATGTTTAACTTTTTCTTACCACTGTTACAGAGCACACAGGATTCAGGGTTCTTTTGTTTTTTTAAGTTTTTTATAAAGCATTTTCTTTGATTGCTTCAGTCTTGACATACACTTCAATACTGTATTTTTGACAAACTATGAAAACAAATTATATTTTTTATTTTATCTAATCGCATGACGCAATGTTATGTGATTAGGGCTACGTCATCAAACGTTGACGGAAGTAGGTGGTTCACATGCTGTAGAAAGATCCAGATCAACATGGCGACGTGCATGAAGATGTTCGGCGCAGCCAAACAGCTGCACAGAAATTCGGCTCTTGTAGGGAAACTAAACTGGCCCGGTGTGTTCAGGACGGGCAGCAGCCGCTTCCTCCTGACCGACACATCCGCCCAGAGCCGTCACATCCCGGTCAGCACAGCGATGACAGCTGGCTGCAGACTGACCCCCAGACCTCACAGGTGGATGCGGGTCGGAGCGGTTCTCCGCGGGCGAACCGAGCTCCTCACCCCGACCCCTCGGCCCTACATGCTTCAGGAGAGGATGTTCGGGAACCGGTCCAGTGCTGGCTTCTCCGGGGAGGACGGCGGGGACAGTGCAGGCTCTGGGGGAGAGGAGGCAGGGGGAGATGGGGGAGCGCCGTACAACGGTCCCCAGATGACAGCTCTCACCCCCATGATGGTCCCGGAGGTGTTTCCTAATGTGCCGCTGATCGCTGTGAGCAGGAACCCGGTGTTCCCCCGCTTCATCAAGATCATAGAGGTGAGGATGATGTTGTCATTGGCTTTTCTACTCTTCACTGGCTTCAAGGACACTGGGATGACGCAATCACCCATCACACTCTTGTAAGGGAGGCTGTTGTTTCTCATACAGGGGTTAACAGGATCTGCTTCAAATTGAGTTAACTGTGGAAAAAGACTCCCTTCTGAATGTGTTGTACTGTCCCTTCAGAGACTGGACGTTTTCACAGCAACCAGGAGAACATATAGGCACTGTGAAGTTCTGCAGTCATACAGCTGGAACATATTGTTCAATAGAGCATCTGTTTTAAAGTTAAAGTGGAACTAAAGCCATTTTTTAATCTAATACATGGTTTCACTGTGGTCTAATACAGTCCAAAAATATAAATTTGTGATGTTATGAGGAATAAAGTCCGGAGCTGCTCCACAGACAATGAATTGGGAAAGATGTTACAGATGACACTAACAACAGTTGATCACGTAACAAGTTTTCATACCTCTCTGGTTTCTGGCTTTGACAGAAAGTAGCTCAAGTTCACAAACACTGATTAAACTTTCCTCAACCATGGAAATAACATATTGGAATTTTTCATTCAGGCGCTGTTCCCCTTTAAAGGGACACTCCACTGATGTTACACATCAAAATGAAAGCAGCTGTAATGTCCTCTGTGGCTCCGGATGACCTTGGTCAAGGCTTAGAAAATAGTCCTGGTGATGTCACAGTGATGCCATGCGGGTTATCACAGCTCAGACTTGGAGACTTCAAATTTCTAACAGAAAGCTTGAGATACAGGCTTGCATCTTGTCTGCCACAATGTCTTTTTCGGTGCTACAACTGGGGTTAGGGTTAGAATATTCTACACTTTTTTGAAAACTCATGTGCAAAAGATATTTAACACAGAAAATGAAATATGGCTGTGTTCTAGGAAGAACGTCATCTTTTATCTGGACAGATTGATAAATGTACCAACTCCATTAGGTGTTTCAGCAGATTAGAAATTCCCATACTTGTGTTTTATTGTTTCCCAGACGATCACTGGAATGACAGGGAATGATTACCAAACTTTTTGTTCAAGGTTTTTGCTCACACTTCTTATTCATGTGCTGTCAGATGCTGAGTGTGTGTGATGTGTCTTTCTTCCTGCCAGGTAAAGAACAAAGAACTGATGGAGCTGTTGAGGAGGAAGGTTCGTCTTGCTCAGCCGTATGCTGGAGTCTTCATGAAGAGAGATGATAAGTAAGTCTGATAAGTCGCTCCTCTGCTCCACTCACTGATGGTCAGGTTGACACAGGCCTGAGAAGGAGAGCATTACCCCTTGACCATGTGCTTTGCAGGCTTTTGCCTGATTCATAAAATGTCATGTGAATGGGACAGCTGGTTTCCTTTAATGTAAGGCAAGCTGAGCATTTACTGTTGCTGCTGCTTCCTGTTAAAAGCTTTCCATGGGTTTGCCAGTGGAAGACTTCTATTTTGAAGCAGCTTCAGGAAATGAATGTATTGGTCACTGACATTATGGGACTTTGGATCTGTGGATCAGTTTTTAATTTCTCAGCCACCATTTGTATGTGATGTGATCTACTTTATATCACAGTGTGTCAATCAGTGACTGCAGTAATAAGTGACGTGCTAAGAACTTGACATACTGCTGTGTGTGTTGGTTTCAATGAGTGTTTCTCTCTCTTGCAGTAATGAGTCAGATGTGGTGGAGTCTCTAGATGCCATCTATTCTACAGGGACCTTTGTTCAGATTCATGAGATGCAGGACCTGGGAGACAAGCTGAGGATGATCGTCATGGGACACCGCAGGTTAGACACACTACTGCTGCTTTTGGGTAAAAGGCGTAGTGGTTGGTTGGAAAGGAAATCTGTAGCCTCTGCTCCCCATGGCACACTGTTACCTCTACCTTGTGTAGATCTCAGCTATATGTATATTTTGGTCTGTCAGGATCCGGATTACAAAACAGCTGGAGGTGGAGCCTGAGGAAGCAGCAGCGACATCCCCTGTGTGGTCTGAGTCTGACTCAGAGTCTCAACCCAAACCTCAACCGAGACGCAAAACCAAACGCAGCCGCAAGGACCAACCGGGTACCCTGACGGAGCAGCTCGAGGACAAGGTCTGTAGCATGACCCTCACATGCCTCAATGCCCCTCAATGTATAGTCTGCTCAGCTGTGTGTACTCAATAGAGTCTTGGAGGCAACAAGCTCCATACAAAATGCCATGAGGTAGGGAGGCATGGTTCGGTTGTTATTTTGGGCCCAGCAGCTATTTTCTTCCCCTGGGGCCCAAACAGGATAAT